GTTTGGACCCACTTTTCCCTTGAGTCTCTCCCTCACTTCCACGACACATGCCCTTTCTGGGTTTTCTTTGTTTTCACACTGGCTGTCCCTCTCGGTCTCCTGGGTAGTTTCCCCTTCTGCTGCTTCTGTGCAACCCACTGATCTTCCTTTGGATTCCCACTTCAGTCCTTTGTCATCATTCTACACATCTCGGCGGCCTTATCCAAACGCAAGGCTTCTACTCTCCATACACTGATGATTCCTAATTTTATGCCCTCATCCCAAATTTTCTCCGAATCCCTAGACCCTTAAATACTATAAAGAATATTTCTACTTGTGTGCCTCATATGTATGTCAAACGCAGTATGCTTACTACTGGATGAATACACATATGGGCTGTCTGTAGGGCTGTCGTTGACTCAATTGTTTAAGCTAGAAATTCCAAGGTTTCCCCTGGCACCTTTACTGTCCCTCACTGTCTGCGTTCTGCCTTCCTCCTCATCCTCCTCACCTTCCTCTGCCTGAGCCTGTTCCCTCCTTTGGCTCCTCTCCTACAGCTCCTTCTCTCCTTTCTCTTTCTGATTCCCCTTCTTGCCAGTCCTCCTCCTTTCATTTCTTCTATTTCTCTTCTATGTAGAAAGTGCCATCGCACTCAGCTTCCCCTTGAACTCTAGACTTTGCTTCCCTGTCCCACCCCTTTATGTAGCATCCACAATGAAAGCAAATACCGTAACAGGCTACTACTTTGTGACTTTTATTCTCAAGATAACTATTTGCATTTTGCCATTGACTTTGTGACTTTGGGCTAAATACTGAAACTCCATTGGCTTCACTCTCCTCCTCAGTAAAATGGGAAGGCAAATAGCACCTAAGCCACCCAAGTGAAAATTCAGTCCCAGAATGTGTGAAAAAACACTCAGAACAGGGCCTGGCACATGGCAGACATTTTATGAGCATAAGCTTTATATATATTTCTTAGCTGTCATCGTTTTCTATTACTGTCTATTATTATTAGAATGTCTATTACCTATCTCCATTTTTCATTACTAGAGCTTTTTAAAAACATTACTTTATTCAGTCATTTTAAGGTAGGCAGCCTTCTAAAAAATGAAGCGAGCTTTTCATGTGTTTTCACAGGTGAAATTTTAATAAATAAACACTTTAAAATGTCCTTTAAAAAACTGAGTTTAGCCCTGGCTGGTGTAGTTCAGTGGATTGAGCACAGGCTGCGAACCAAAGTGCTGCAGGTTCGATTCCCTGTCAGGGTACATACCTGTGTTGTAGGCCATGACCCCCAGCAATCACACATTGATGTTTCTCTCTCTCTCTCCCTCTCTTCCCTCTCTAAAAATAAATAAGTAAAATTAAAAACAAAACAAAACTGAGTTTAATTTTCTAGAAAAGAATAAAGATGTTTGTTGGGGAAATGTGTTCTGGAGAAGCATCCTTAATGGTTGTGCCAACTGGTGTTGGCCTGGATCTAAAATATTTAGGCAGTTTTTGGCTTGGCTAAAGTATCGGTAGCTTGAAATTGACAATAACTCGAGGTTTTACATCCTGGAAATTAGGTAAAGGCTACAAATCTGGGCCCACTTAGTGCATATCACTCTATAGTATTTCTAAAGGCCAGGATCATTACGAAGTTTGAAGTCCTGACAAACTATCTTACTGTGCATTTTTTTAATCTTTTTTTAAAGACTTTATTTATTTATTTTTAGAGAGGAAAGGGAGGGAGAAAGAGAGAAAGAGAGAGAGAGAGATATCAATGTGCGGTTGCTGGGGGTCATGGCCTGCAACCCAGGCATGTGACCTGACTGGGAATCGAACCTGCAATACTTTGGTTTGCAGCCCATGCTAAATCCTCTGAGCTACGCCAGCCAGGGTTCTTACTGTGAATTTTAACGTAGCCTGAGGGTAAACGGTACCTGCAAGACTTAACAATTGCTATACAGATTAGAAGTCAGTGCAGTAATTACCCTGCAACCTGGGTGTTAGTGCCACCACTCAGCATCAAAGGAGGTCCCTTTGTATATTTTGTACTGGTTTCTTTGTATGTTTGTATGTATTTTTGAGTGATTATCATTTGAATGACCAAATGATTATTTTAATTGTCTAAAAAATTACTCTTTACAATCAAAAGAAAAATATGTATATTAAAAGAAAAATGTCCCTCCACTTTTAGAGCCAAAGGGAGAAAATTCAGAATTTATAGTCGTTTTCAGTTTTACCTATAACATCCCAATGGGAAGAAAATGGTATGAGGAAAATATCTTACTAGGCTCTGGGTGACTTATGAAAAGAGTTATAATTCCCCTGTTGAAAAAGTGTCTCAAAATTCTCAGTTAGGTACTTGGCTTTTTTTTTTTCACTCACCTAGTGAAAAAAACCACATGTAAGATCTTCTTGAAACTGACTAGTTTGCCAGTTCCACTTCCTGTTGTGAGGAGCAAGAGGTATCTTAGGCTGCTCAAGTTCTCAAGATTGTTTTCATTCTCTGATGTCAACCAGTGTAGGTTTCAAATTCTTACATATCAAGCGAAACTGAAACTCTCTCTAACTTGTTATTTCTATAATATGCAGTTTGTTTCTAGTTAGGGAAACAGTTTGAACGGTTATTACGGATTTCAAAGTAATTTGCCAGAAGGGCTATCAGAGGAGCGATGACTCAATGGCTGAACTCCCTGCCTCTCTTTTAAAACGTCTGAATAAAATCTTCCCTCACAGTGGATGATCACCCTGTTCGAGGTACTGCCCTTCTGCTTCGAGCTTCTGCTTCGAGCTTCTGCTTCTTAGCCAGCCTAGGCACAAGAATCTAGCATAGACCAAGGGCTGATGTGGGGCAAAATTGAGACAGACTCCAGTTTGATTTCGGGCTTTCTGTAAAACCAGCCCTACGGAGTTGATAAGGGATGGGTGAAGGAGATTGATTCATGGGTGTCCTTCACAGACCCACAGGGGCCCTCTCGTGACTCTCTCTCTGTCTCTCTCTGTCTGTCTCTCTCTCTCTCTGTCTCTCTCTCTCTCTGTCTCTCTCTCTGTCTCTCTCTCTCTCTCTGTCTCTCTCTCATCCTTTTCAAGGCTGCTCCTATTCCATGAACTTCAGCTCTATTTGTAATGTGATTTCACCTTGTCAGTCTGGAGCCAGAAGCCCTGAGGAACACCTCGATACAACTAGCTCCTTTTTTCCCCTGTTGCTCTGGGCGTTAGTCTGTCTTGCGAATTCCCTGGAGTTTCCCGGACCTTGATTTTCTCAAATCATTCCTGCTATCTAAATTTACTTACTTTCTTCCTTGCCTTTAGTCCTGGCTCTCAGATAAGTTTTAGCTAACCAGATAATGTACATATTTGGGCTAAAATATTTTAATAGGTACTGCTGGTTTTACTGATCTCAGGTAGCTGCATATAAAAAAATGCCCAGGAGAACGTTTGAGAGAATAGTGAGGAGTTTAGACCAAGATGCAGGTCAATGTGGGAGGTGTTTTGGGCAGCGGAGCTGACTGAGCCTTGCTGTGGCCACATGTCTGAGTGTTAGTCACAGGTCACACCTGTGACACGTCTGCTCCTGCCTGAAATGTAGGACAGTTACTGCCTGTGCTATGTCCTTCACTCACAAGGATGATTAGTTTCTTCAGGGACACAATTTTATTCCAACATTTGTAAATAAAAGTCAGCTTGGGATTTCCAAAGAAAGACAACTTAGGCACTTCAACTTGTTACTGTTGCTGAAAGAAATTATTATGACATTGCTGTTTATTATATATAAAGTATGTGTTTATATCTATAATAATATGTTATACTATGTGTGATTATATCAACTAATGTTTTTTAGTTTTTGGAATATTTTCACATACAGTCTTGTTATATTTATGGGAACCATACACAATAGCTATTGGATCGATAGTTAGATATGCAGAATAGTAACCAGGTGTGTCTGGAATAACATAAAATGTTGTGGTAAGATTGCCTACCAACTTTTAGAACTGCTCTTCAATTGTTTAGGTTTTTTTTTCAAATTCTCTACTTGTTAGCATAAAAATCTGTCATTTAAACCTGAATAAATTGAGCTTAGATGTTGTGGAGGAAAAATGGAAACTTCTTTAACCTAAAATGTCTCTCGTTCTACACACCTACACACCCACCCACACGCATACAAAGAGGGCCATTTGACAGCATTTGATTTGTTTTGTTTTTGCTGACAGTCTGATTTTACATGAATTTTTAAAATGTACAATGAAAGTGTGTTTTCATTTACGTGTATTTCAAATATTTTGTCTTATGTCTGATTTGAATATTGGAAAAGCTGCTAAAAATAGAAGTTCAATTTATCTTTTATAAAGCATGAGAAATATTCACAGATATTTAAGATAGAATAAGCAATTCAAATTTAGATAATAATTTCTTGATAAGGAGGCTTGATAGTTACTGAGATCTCCCCCAAAGAGACTGGAATTTCTTTTCCTGGGATATTTAACTCATGTGGTTTAAGTGTAACCCTATGTGGTAACAGGACCGTGAACTTAGCAGTCGGACAAGAACCTGAAATATTGTGAGATTGCAATGATTATCTTTCAGGTTTATTTAAATAATCATCGTTTAGACACTGCAAGAAAAGCAGCAGGATATATATACACATATGACATATTTATAATGTAATATGTAATATATAAATATATATGTTTTTTTCTCCCAAAAAGATAAAGGAAATATTTTATTTTTTTTAAAGTACTTCAGTGAACAGCGTCCTAACTAAAGTGGTAGTGAGAAGGCTGCCTGTGGGTGGAAACAGGAAACATCGGTGATAAATGCTGTTACCTTTTTTTTTTCCAGTTTCAGCTCAGTGTCTATTGATTCTAATTAGCACATTTTGTGCCTCAGCTATGGCTCCCCTCAGCTCGGCTTGGAGAGTTTTTTTTAGCCTCATCCTGCTCATAAACACTGCCACCTCCTCCCTCCCCGCTCTCTTTACAAATGTTACAACACAATCAGAAATTTCCTCTTTTCTTTCCTTCCTGCATTTTCAGCAGGTTCCCTTGCGGCAGAAGCCCACAAAGAAAACTCAAGGTAATTAGATCTCTTTTGTTCGTTTATCCCCTCTCGTGTGTGCGTGCGGTTTTTCTCTTGGATGCCTTCGTTGGGATCAGCTTTTTGCCTGTCGTACCGCTAATATCAGGAGGTGGATGGCAGTTTAATTTGGGGTTATTTTTTTTGATTGATTTTAAGAAATGATGGCATGCTATTCATTTGGATTAATCCCTTGTGGTGTGTCGGAAGAGCTCAGAAAGCCTGCCACTGAGTGGCAGAGTGGCTGTGTTTTCAGGTGGGCATTAACCCTTCTCCGTGTCTGGCACAAGTAACTGCCATCGGTGCTGACAGGAGCTTTGCTAGTGCAGTGAAGTGCCTGACAGTCGGAGGATTTTAATTTTCAACTTATTCTTGTTGCATATTCTTGGACTTGCATGTTCGTCTCACTATTTCTTTGGTCATGTCTTGTCCCTTCTAAGCACCCAATAAACGTTTACAAATAAAATAGATAAATTACCCTCCCCCCTTTTTTTTTCCGCATTTCTTTTACATGAGTCTTGGTACGAAGCCCAACTCCCAGGAGGTAAAAAAATGAAGTTACCTTTCCCTCTGTCACATACATCGGGGTGATATGTGACCACCTTTTCACACCATTGTTTGCAGGCGTTTTCATGATGAGTCGGAGGAGGATATCGTGCAAAGACCTGGGGCACGCCGACTGCCAAGGCTGGCTATATAAGAAAAAGGAAAAAGGAACTTTCCTAGGCAACAAATGGAAAAAGTTCTGGGTTGTACTGAAGGCATCGTCGCTATACTGGTACAGCAATCAATTGGTGAGTCTGCTCTCCCCCCGCCCTCCTGTCCCAGCCTCTCTGACTGAGGGAGGACGAAAGATCCTTGCCGGGCAGATGATTCCCATGGGAAACTTAATTTTTATTCCTGGGACTTGGAACTGAGCAAATAAACAAGTTCTAGAAGCGATTTCTGGTCCAGTATGTATGTAGGTCACTCTGCTTGACTGACTAATCGACCGTTGGAGAAGGGCATCCACGTGTACATGCTCACTGAAGGAGGCGTTCGGTGTCTGTCACTGTTATTACTGCGGGAGAGAGGCTGATCATCTCGGGGTTTCCCTGGACAGCGCTGGGCATGGGCAATGTATAGTGTTAAGGTCTCTGTGAAAAAGGGGACTCAGCGCTGAGGGGTGTCAGTTGATTCAGCCCACAGGAGCTATTTCCGTTTCTCTTCCTTGACTCTCTTTTTCTTTGACCTTGTTGATCAGATGGGTTGGCCTGGGAACCGCTAAGCGGAGAGCCAGGGTTGTGTCGCTGACTGTCGTGTCGTGCTCCTTGGCATGCTCGGTGATGGTGTGGAACTACCGAGGCTCGGACACACTCGATAAGAGAGTTTTCTGAGCTGTCGTGTAGAGGCAGTACACTTTTGTGCTCTGCTGCACAGGCTTAGTCTGCTGCTGGAATGGGCTAGGAGTAAAGATACTGGTAGAAGCTGCGCTGATCTTTCCTGGCTGGAAACATTCGGAAAACAAGGATATTGTTGAATATGGAATGAGGAGCGACTTCTCCCTTAGGAATGAGTAGCCAGTTGCTGATCTCAGCACAGCTTGAGTTTGTTTGTGTGGTAAAGTGGAAGATTAGCAATGGATATTCTTTGATCAATTAAGGGGAGGTTAGGAATTACTTAATAAGCCAGGGAAATTCTTTTTATGTGGCACTGTCCTTCCAAAGTAACTTCTGTGTGTCCATAGCTCAAGCAGCAGAGTATCGGAGCATCCAGTCTTGTAAGTGTAAAATAAGTGCTGTGTGTATAGTTTGTGGGCACAATTTTTTAGTTGATAATTTGCATTCACAGGTCACTAGTTCCCTGACATCCTTCCTGTAAAGACCTGCTAAACTGGACCCAACTCTAGTGCCCTGGAATTAGCCTTCTCCCCCGTGCCTCCCTCTGCACCCCTCCCCCTGCACCCCTCCCCCACTCATCCCCAAGCTTATCACTTTGGCTTCACCCCATGCAAAACATGCTGCAAAAATTTTTTATCATGTCCTATAGAAATATATTTCCTCAAGCCCTTTGTGAGTTCTAACAACTTTATCAAAGATTTGGGAGGTTTGAGAGAAACAGTCACTTCGAAGAACATGCAGTCCTTCAGTCTCTTCTTTTTCTCTCCTTTCTTCCACCCTCCTGGACACTGGCCTCGTCTCCTCTGGCCTGCAATGGCTTTACTCAAGTTAAGGCAGCCTGATGCTGGGGTCTCCCCTCCTATCTGAAGAGATGTTTCTTAACAAGTAACAGCAAATAACAACTAATCTTAATTCTCCCTCCTTAAGAAGGAAGAATTAAGATTAGTACACGTTTCAACCTCCTGTTTCATATTAACTTAGGGCTCCTGCTTTCGGGTAGTTGTGGCCACTGAGAGTCTGTCTCTTTTATAAAATGAGGGGACTTAACCGATTTACCTTTTACTACCTCCCCGGGAATTTCCAGAGGCTGTTGGCATTCATTTTCTCGTTCCATCAAATTATTCAGCTGATATGTTCTGGGGGCTGTCCTTGTTTTCACAGAATTTAAAAGAAGCCCCTCTGAACAGCATATGGTTACGGATTTGGTTAATTTGGCTTTGTCAGCTCATTTGGCTTAAGCTTCTCTTAGAGGAGCTATGAATTACCGTTTTGGGCGATAGGGATCTCCTGCTTCCATAGGGAGCAGCAGTGTCGACTGAGACTAGGTTAGAAAAAGGAAAAGGAGGCCCACTCAGGCACCCCAACCTCGCTTGCAAATGCATAAAGCAATATTCAGGTAGCAATTCACACTTGAGTAGAGTTAGTTTAGCAACATAGAATGGTGCATAAATCTGCTGTTACCTGGCCCACTAACTAGTGGTAGGTAACGGAAGGCCCCTTAAGGAGCTGGAAGGCCCTCCAGCTCCTTAATTCTGGGACTGTTTAATGGAAGAGTATCCTGAGCCCAGGACTGTTGCCATACACCAGCCTGACTGCATGCGGGGAGCAGATGAATAATATGATTAGATTACCTTGCTTAATGCCTTCAGTAGGGTTCTGAGAGAGCAAATCTAGAAATGAAATCGAGGGCAATTCTCATGAGGACGTAGAAGCGATCTCATGGGACCCCTTTGCTTGTCTCTGCTGCTCCCCGACAGTGCTGGGGGAGACCAGCTCTTCCCCCGCTCTCTTAGCCACTTTTTGCTGTTACTGCTGTTACCCGCTAACTGACTTGAGCCATACCTTCTTCTTTCATGATGCTTTGCTGCTTCAAACGGCGCTACCCGTACTTCCTTGAGAAAGGTCAAGTCCAGAACTCATCCTCCTTTTTTCACACCTCATGGTATGTGCTTAAAATGTGATACAGCACACAAGAGGGCACGCCAAGTCTTGCAAAATCAGGTTGACGTTTCCCAGCCATGAGCTTTCAGGTGGTTTAAAATCATGGGTTTGAAATCCACACAACTGTTTTTTCTTTACCCCCTGGGGTAAAGTACATGTTCATCTCCCCACTTGTGAGAATCCCCTGACCTGTATTTCTCTTACTTCCCCACCCTCCCCACCCAAGCTTCAACTGTAGAACTTCATTTAAGTCCTTGTTAACACCGTACAGGCTGGCTGGCTCTTTCGGCCGGGGCATGTGCTGTTTCTCTGCTCAGAAAATGCTGTCTTTCTCCCACCCAATCCCATCAAGCTTCTTCCTCCCCGTAAGTCAAATCTGAGTGCAAAGAGCCGTTCTTCCAGGTGCTGTTACTTTATATCCTGTGACCCAAATTAGATTGCCTCTGTCTGTTCCCACAGCATTCTATAATTTGTATTGTTATACTCATCTTTCTCATTTGCACATTTGTTAGACTTTCTCTTTTCCATATTTGATGATAATCTCTGTAGGACAGGATCACAAGTAATCTTTTTTAAAGATTTTATTTATTTATTTTAGAGAGAGGGAAGGGAGGGAGAAAGAGAGACAGAGAGAAACATCAATGCACTGTTGCTGGGGGTCATGGCCTGCAACCCAGGCATGTACCCTGACTGGGAATCGAACCTGCGACACTACAAGTAATCTTTAACAACTTGAACAGTGTCCAACACTTACCGGGCACTTGATGAATATTTGTCGATTTCATAAATAAATGAGATTCGGGAATCACCAGCATTTCTATTACCCGTGGGAATTTTGAGTCATGGAACGGTGAAGAAGGACTGCTTTTGATGCAAAATAATTTTCCAGTGAAGAGATTTCCACTTCCATTCTTAAAAATAGATACAGGAAAGGGTGTAATTTGAGATTTGTTAGAAGGGCTCCACAAAGCTTCAAATAGGTCCCACACAACTACTCTTATTTTGCCAACATCTTCTAAGCGGCTGCCTTATTAGATTTTTTCTAACCGTGGCCTCTGGCTGAAAACCACGGTCTGTTGACCACTGGCCTGGGGTAGAAATGTTGAAAGAGAGACAGAAGGTTTCCTAGGGAAATTCTACTCACTCTAGCATTTCACCCGGGTACCAGACACAGCTGGAGACCCAAGTTTGGGGTCCACGCCTTCTCTCCGGGAAAGGAGAAGAAAAGTTCTGAATTTCTGTTCTCCTTCAGGCCCCCCACTCTGAAATAGTGGCAAGGTAAAGTCCCGAAGACTTTCATTAGTCACCAACACTAGCTCCTATGTTTAAAGTTTCAGGTTTCCCACTGTTGCTGTAACTTGTTTTTCTTTTTGAAGAATTCTTAATTCAAATGTTGCTTAGTTCCTTGGGAAATATAGTGTGGATTTTATTTATATCCAAGACAGATCACAAAGTAAATGTGCATTATGCAACCCAGTTAAAATTAGGGAGGCTCTTCCCTGTTTCTATTCAGAGAGCATGCGCTCATCTCGCTGGTAGGTTTTCTCACGTTCATTACCCAGGCGCGTATGCGGACTGTCGTTACGAGAACATACACATCCTGCTGGGATGCAACTGGGAGGCTCTGCCGAAACAGTTTGGGCTTCAGTCACAGAGCCCAGTTTAGTCTTAGTTACACATAATAGATTAAAAAAAAATGTCTTTCTCAGGAAGCCCACCGTGTGAAGTTTATCATCTATCCATTTATGCACCCACCCACCACCAGCCACCTACATGTTCTTCTGCCAGTATTTGTCAAAGATCAAAAATAATTTGGGCTACCTATTTGTAAATACTATTACACGATTAAAATGAAGAGACAACATTTCTTCTCTCTATTAAGAACTTTTAGGCTGGCGGAGGAGGAGAAGATCTATGTAAATGACATTATCAAAGGAACATTCATGGAAAAAAAATGGCTCTGAGTTTAAGTAATAGGGAGGAATTCTGTAAGTTCTGGGGGAAAGAGAAGTGTTTCAGGTGGAACGGGAGGGAGTTCCGCCACAGTGGTTTTTATTCCTGGAATGTCCTCTTTGCTTTCCAGCTGGGAAGGTGGGCTACTCCCTTTTGTCATTTCCAAAGACGCATGATTTCCTGGGGCAAAAGGCCAGGCTTCTTTACTAGATAAACCCTAGTTTTTACCAATCCCGAAATATTGTTTTCCTGCAGTTTGAAGTGACTATCAAAACGCTTCAGAAAGAGCATTCTCTTAAAACCAGCCTTGGAAGGCCTTTTTGGGGGGTGAGGGGTAGAGAATGAGGGGGTGGGTGTTCCAGTCGGGGGAAGAATGTGGAAAAGGAGTGAAACTCTGCTGAGCCATGCCGACCCACTGTATCCAGCTGTCATAATAACTGAACACGGCAGATTTCGTTATTCCCATTTTTAAAGGGAGTTTGCTGAAGCTCAGGGAGTTTAAGTGGTTTGTTCAAGTCACG